AGCCGAGGTAGTAGAAAACACACCTGATGATGTAAGTCTCCACCTCATGCTATCTGAACCGTCCCCCGAGATAGGGATCTGCTGGATCTGATCTAATAACTGCTCGCTAAAACCCGCACCAGCCCCCAACTCCCTATCAAGCTTCCCCCTATCCCACGACCCGTCCGTCCAGAGGTCGCTCACGAGCAGGTAGGGGGAATGCGACACCTGCCTATCCCTAGACAACGGCCTATCACCTACCCACCACTCATCCCAGACACTGACATCGCCCCCGCCCAAAACCCAAAAGATGTGATCCTGGGCTCGCCTCCCGACCCTAGTGAGGCGCCGCCACTGTCTGCTATCATGATCAACAGCCGTGACCCAACAAGGGTGGTTGGCACGTCTAGGGCAGTACTTGCCGCGAAGGTACTGAGCCCAAAGCGACTTTCCTTCCCTGAAGCGCCACCACAGCTTGTATGAGAAAGCTGTAACAATGTCCCTAAGGCGGCGGATGCCAAGGCCACCCTCTGGGAGGGGGCGGCAGATAGAGTCCCAACTCACCCAGTGAGTACGTCTCCCCCTCCCAGACCCGTCCTCATAACCCCAGAAATAACGAGCCATAATCTGGTCAAGCTCGTCAAGAGTAGACCTAGGGGGGTCGAGGACCATAAGCAAGTGAATCGGAAGAGAGCTAAGAGTGCTCTTGATCAGCGCTAGCCGACCACCGAAAGAAAGATATCTATGCGACCAACCAGAGATCCTGTCGATCATCCTCTGTCTGACGCCCGCAAAGAGCGCTCTCGTGAGGTTGCCCTTATATAAAGGGACCCCGAGGTAGGTAATGGGAAGGTCGCCACGCGCAAAGCCAGTAATGTCGTGGACCCGCTGAGCCCACCTGTCCACGGTGGCAGATGAAAGGATGAAGGTGCTCTTCTGCACACTGACCAGCTGACCGGTGACCAAGCCATAGTGCTCCAAAAGGCGCATAAGCTCGACCAGTCCATCATCATCCGCCCGGGTGAAGATAATGATGTCATCCGCGTAAGAGAGGTGAGAGACGGTAGGACCATAGCCACAGGTGCTATAGGTCATATGGGGAGAGTCGCGGATGAAGCCGTCAAGGCAGCGAGAGAGGTAGTCCGCCGCAAGAACGAAGAGGGAAGGGGAAAGGGGGTCGCCCTGTCTAAGGCCTCTAGAGGAGGGAAAGAAATCGGTGGGGCTGCCATTAATCAGGACCGAGAACGTGCAATGCTCCACACACGCCTCCACAAAGCTGATCCAACGCTCAGGGAATCCCATCCTAGCCAACGCCTCCCTAAGAAACGGCCACTCAACCCTATCATACGCCTTAGCCATGTCTAGCTTCAGCGCGATATTCGGAGCCCGCTTCCAGTCCGCTCGGGAGATGTCGTGGATCATCTCCTGGGCCAGAAGGATGTTATCACTAATGACCCGATCCTTGACGAATCCACTCTGGTTCGGAGAGATGAGAGAGGGGAGAAGAGGGGAAAGACGGCCGTTAAGAATCTTCGAAATGAGCTTGTTGGTCACGTTACACAGGCTGATGGGCCTGTAATCGGACCAAGAGCTCGGGTTGGGTCGTTTGGGGATCAAGACGACAGAGGTAGACGTGAAGGAATCCGGCATCCGGTGGCCGGAGAAAAAGTCCAACATCGCCTCCTGGACGTCAGTCTCGACAATATCCCAGCAGACCTGATAGAAGAGGGAGGAGAAACCATCCGGGCCAGAAACGCTGTTGGGATCAATCCCGAATACAGCATCCCTAACCTCCTCCCTGCTCGGGAGCTCACAGAGGCCAATGAGATCGACCGAAGGAGGGATGGTGGGGAAAAAAGAAGCGTTCGGGGCCACGAGGGACCCTCTGTCAGAGGTGAAGAGGGTCTGGAAGTGAGCAACAGCCGACTCCCGAATCTGAGCCTCCTGGGTCAAGGATGACCCATTAGCCTCGATGCTATGGATGTACGACTTAGCACGCTTCTGCCTAACGTAGCCCTGGAAGAACCTAGTGTTCCGTTCGCCCTCGGCCACCCAGCGAACGGCCGCCTTCTGCTTCCAGAAGTCCTCCTCCATAAGGAGTCGGAGCTGGTACTCGGCGTGGCAGCGGTGCATGGCGGTCCTATTCTCCGGAGTGGGATCCAGGTCATAGGCCCGCTCAGCCGACGCATGCGCACTCTGAGCTGCAGTAAGGCGGTGATGAAGGTTTCCAAAAACATCCCAGTTCCACTGTCTCAACCGACGCCGCAGTCTGCCGAGCTTCGCCTCGAGATTGCGCATCCCGAAGAGCCCAGTCGGCTGAAGCCAGGAATCCCTGACAGTGTCGTGGAAGGAGTGGTGGCGAACCCACATGTTTTGGAACCTAAAGGAAGCGCGGCGAGGAGTGCTCGAAAAACGACATCTAATGAGGAGGGGTGAATGGTCAGACCCAAATCGAGTGAGGTGCGTGACGGTCGTGACCGCAAACACCTTCGACCACGCTTCAGAAATCAAAGCACGGTCGAGCCTCTCCTTTAGGTCGTCCCTAACCCACGTGAAGGGTTCACCCTCGCATCCAGCATCGAGCAACTCACAGTCCGCCACAGTCTGCGCAAAATCCCACATCTCTCGGGATCTGTCCGTGCGGCCACCCACGCGCTCATCGGGGTGCAGAAAGATGTTGAAATCGCCACTAACCATCCATGGCAATCCCTCCATACTCTCGGCAATCTCACGCAGGGTGTCCCAAAGATCATATCGCCCGACCCTAGTACACTTGGCATAAACCAAGGTGTGATAGATGGGCTCCGGGAGGTGGGCAGCGGAGAGCTCAACGTGAAGCACCTGATCGGTGTCACGGAGGACCCGACAAGTGTAATCACGCGAGTGAAAGAAGAAGATCTTATGCGACATATTACCGACGCCCGAGTGAAAACCAAGGCGACGCGAGTAGTAGTCAAGCGAAGGGTTGCGAATCATTGGCTCAATGAAGCCAACAAAATCGAGTCTGTGGTCACGAATCAGAGAATGGAGGTGAGAGAGGGTAGCCCTGTTCGCCAGGCCACGGCCATTCCAAGTAATGGACGTGACTGACATATCAACTGTCGCGAGAGCCACTGGACATAGTCCGCCTGTGGCGAGGCTGAGTCGCGCTGCGTAAAGCAGGGCGACGTCGAAATGATCCAATAGCAGGGGAGGCAGTCCGCCGCAGCGTGCGCTGTGAGGCTCTGGTCCTCGTATACTGCCTGCCTCGGATGGCGCTCGTGGCCTGTGTGTCGTCTGGCTGGGCAATCTGACCAAGAGCGACACTAGCGGCTTGCCCCATATCCGGGGCTGTCTCCTGTCTGTCATGGTGCACAAAGGCACTAGACGCGAAGCTCTCGCAGGAGACGTCATGCTGAGCGCGGTTAAGACCGCATGCCTGCTCGGGGATGGGAGAAAGAGGATGTCCAGCCGGCGGGGCAGTCATGTGCTCGCCTCCAGAGGAAGGGTGGGGGCTGGCTATATGCTCAGCCGTGGTCCTAATCTCCGGGGAGAGAGGAGGGACCGACTGATCCCCTTTCGGGGGAGCGGTGGAGGCACTAGCCCTCAAATCTAGAGGGCCGCGGTCCGGACTGGATGCACGCACGGTCTGAGGGTCTGCGTCGCGTGCACTGTCATCGGACAAATGGATGGACTCACCCCTGGTCGAGGCCTTCGGCTGGTCCATATCGTCGACCAGAAGATCATCGTCGTCAAGGAGCGCAAGGTCAGAAATCTTAGGATGGTGACTAGTGGACGGAACGTCCTCATCCTCTGCCTGAGGGGAGAGGACGGCAAAGTACGAGTGATTGGCCTTGAAGGCCGTCTGGATGGTCTGTCTCGGGAGAAAGCCCGTGGACTTGGGCTTTGGCCCCACTATGGCCGACTGCTTAGGCTGGTTAGGATGAGCGTCCTTCCCAGTTTGGGCAGTGGCGTCAAACACAGCCTTGCCCTTGTCCTTAGACCCCTTCGGGGTCTCGGGCGTACGGATAGGGCTTTTGCCCTTTCCCTTGGGGTCCCTTCTGCCGGTGGAGGGCCCTGGCTGAGCAGCGCGATGGCGCTGCGGAAGCGTGGGTCGTGGCTTATTGCCATTAATGTAGCAATCGGCCGCAATGTGACCCACATGGCTGCACACAGTGCAGAACGCGGGGATCTTTTCGTATATCACCCGCTGAAGAAAGGACTCTGAGCCCTGCTCAATTTCGATCTCATGAACGAGCTCCGCTCTGAGATCTATCTCAACACAGAATCGCGCCACGTTAGCCCTCGTCTGAAGGGCCGTGTGGGCGTCGATACGAATCGGCTGCCCGATACACTTAGCAAGTGTAGTGATGGCAGCGCGGTCATAGAGGTGGGGTGGGAGGCCGGGAAGACGGCACCAGACGGGGACAATCGGTGCCTCCGTCTTCGGGTTAAACCCGACATAGTATTTGAACACCCTAGCTGGGCATCCACACAAATGAATCAAGGTTTTGAGCCAGACCTCATTATAATCCTCAGTGAGGTGGAAAGACACTAACAGGTGGTTAAAGTTAAACCACTTCGATGAAACACTACCCTTAAAACCCAATTTCCTTAATCCAGCAGATATATCTCGAGGGGCGGGGATAGCATATGAAAACTTAAATACCAGGGTGTTATCAAGTTTACCTGCGAGAGCGACAGATTCGGCGTCGGTGAATCGGGCCTTGACTTTGTTCTCCTCCGAGCGGATAATGGTCCCGCAAGCAAGCTCGTAGTTCCCGTCAAAGGTAAAATCCTTCGGTGTTGGTTGTGGTTTGCTCGAACCGCCATCTCTTTTGCCCGTGATGACCTCGCGGAATGAAAGCGGTTCATTGGAGGTGTCCGGAGGTGACCCGGCTGCAGCGTGGTTGGCCGTGGAGGTGATAGTCGTTGGTGTCTCGATCGGGGACACTCCGGGAGGATGGGCTGTGGGCGATGTGCTTGGGTCCGCAACAATCACACCGTCTCCACGAACGTACAAGACGGCCGGTTCCTTATCTCTAAAAGCCGAGGTGACTATTCCTGCGGGGTTTGCCGACCGGGTCGGTGAAACTGGTCGGGGGCCGAGGATTCCGGCCGTAGTCAACGCTGGGACAATTCCGTGTGAAGGGCCGGCCGTAGTGACCAACTTCGTTGCTGTCCCGAATGTATCGCCGGCCGATGGGGAAAATCTGGTGATAGAGCCGGCGCCGTTGCCGTCGCCGGGGAGATGGTTGTCAGCTGCCGGTCGGTTATTGGTGTCCGTTTGGTGGCAGGTGATGTTTTGGTTTGGTTGAGGTGTGTCGGGGTGGGTAATGGAGATGGAGGTGTCGGGCTTGGAGGTGGGCTGAGGAGAAGCGGGCTGTGATTGAGAGGCGGTTTTGATGTTGGGCTGACAGGTTAAGTCCACGAGAGGGGTAAGTCCTGTGGGCTGGGATTTTTGTATGGTGGGTTGATTATGGGTTGAGGCGGGCTGAGAGATTAAGGGTGAGGTAGAAAGGGATAAAGGGCCCGTTTGTTTATTGAAATGTTTAGCAAAGTTGTTAATTGGTACCTGTGCATTAGGCCCAAGTCGAATGATGTTTTTTGGCCCATTGAGAGATTGGTTTGCCACGTGTAGGGGTGTGATTTTGTCCCCTTCAATAATGAGCTGAGGGTTTTCGGTTTGTGCTTCGCCGCTATTCTGAGATGTATTTTGACTGACCGACGGCAACCTCAAAGGCGGAATCTCCGATTGTAAGGGACGGTTCTCAGAAGTTCCGACGATAGTGCCACCCGGCGAGCGTCCGACTGAAGGCGTGATTTCTCCTTCTTCCAAAGCACCGCTTCCGACCAAAGGGTTGCCGGTGGGATGACCTTTTCTTGCACCAGTTATTATCGTCTCCGACGCTAAAGTCCCAAAAATCGGCCATGAATCTGAATTTGTGTCGTTGTGACTGGTTTTCTGAACTGTGACGGATGGGTGAGATTCCCCATTTTCGGTACTTGAATGTTTGCCCAGGAAATTTGCTACAGTTTGTTGGAATTCTGGTAGTTTGAGTAAGTTTAGAAAATCAATTGGGAGGTTAGCCGGAGATTGGAGGGATTGAGAGTAGGTTGACGGAAATGGGGGGGGAGGAGGAGCCATAGCTGCGACCTAGATAAGAGAGAGGATGGCTCTAACGGCGGTTGGCCGGTGTGGCCACCGCCGCCGCCGGCGGCCGGTGGGGTGAGGTAGGCAGTAGCAGTGGCTGTGGGGCGGAGAGGAGGCGGTTGTGGGCGGAAGAGGACGGAGAAAATTGTAGAGAGAGAAATCTAGTGAGAGGTGAGAGCATTTAGGTTAGTTCTTTCTTGCTGCTAGGTTAGTTGTTTTCTTGCTGTTAGGTTAGATGTCGTAAGTTGCTAGGTTATTATTTTCATGCTGCTAGTTTAGTTGCTTTTTGTTGCTAGGTTATTTCTTTCATCCCGCTAGGTTAGTACTGTGTTGTTGCAATGTTAGTTGTCTAATGCTGCTAGGTTAGTTGTCTGTTGTTGCTAGTTTATTTTTTTCTTGTCGCTAGGTTATTACTTTCTTGCTGCTAGGTTAGTCGCTACGCCCCGAGGGGCGGGGGATTAGGCTGGATCCCCAACCTGTATATAGATCATAGCCCTAAAGTGGGCCAAAACACTCAACATAGTCTCACAATCCAAACAGAAACGAAAAAGGAAATGAAAATAATACAAGGTCTGTCATCGGGCTAACAGGTGCCTGGAATAAAAGGATGGTCTAAGAAAACAAAACCAAAAAACCTAATCTACTGGAATCGAAACGATGGATATCCCAGCTGATCCATCCGAACTAGCGTGCGAAGGCGGAGTGGAGCAGTGTAGGTCTGATACGTGTGCGTGTCTGGTATGGTAGCGCCAAGGCTAGCAAGGTAATCAGCAGGTCTGTTCCCCTCACGGAAGATGTGTGTGATCCTGTAATGGACAGACCGAAGTAGATCTCTAATGCGCATAAGCGGGTGCTGAATCTGCCACGAGCCCTGATGACCCGAGGCCAAGAGGGTGACGATAGCCGCAGCGTCCAGCTCAATCCAAATATGACTAGAGAGTCGGCAGCAATCTGAAGGCCAATCTGTAATGCCTGAATCTCTGCGTCGTAGCTCGAGGAAGTCTGAAGGGATGTGTGGAAAGCGGTGATGAGAGCTCCACTGTGGTCCCGGATCAAGCCTTCTCCTCCGGCAGTACCGCTATGGCGATCGAAAGATCCATCGGTGTTCAGCTTGACCCAAGGAGAGTCGGGTCGAAGCCAAACAACTGCTCTGGGCCGAGGGGACCGAACAGGCTGAGGAAGAGCCACCCTGTATCGGTGCGGTGGCGTGCAGCCTGTCCAGTCACGTGCAGAAAGCCTGCCCAACGCTGTAAGGAGCGAAATATGTCTCTCCACCTGCAAAACAATGTGAGAAAGCAAGAAAGTAATATCCCTATGCTTCGCACTATTCCTTTCCGTCCAGGTGAACCAAAGGATCAGACAAGGAATGAGGAAGCTCACGTGTCTAAAGTGTGTGCTCTGTGAGAAAAAACTCAGGAGCTCAAAAAAACTGTCTGTGGAGGGTAGGGATAAATGAGTCCAAGTAGAAAAATGCTCCCACACTCTCCTCACAATCTCACTCTCTAGAAAAAGGTGGGTAAAGGTCTCGGTCTCATGACGTCCGGTCTCAGAACAACACACACATCGAGAGGAGAAGGAGATCCCCCTCCCATGTAACACAGTGTCCACGAGTATCCGGCACAAGAGGAGGCGCCAAAGGAAAACAGGTATGGTAGGGGTGAAAAGGTCGCTCCAGATGGCTCCGAAGAGAAGATTCGGCCGATCTCTCAGCCTGATCTGCTCCCAAGCCGAGGTAGTAGAAAACACACCCGATGATGTAAGTCTCCACCTCATACCATCCGAATCGTCCCCCGAGATGGGAATCTGCTGGATCCTATCTAATAACTGCTCACTAAAACCCGCCCCGGATCCCAACTCTCTATCAAGCTTCTCCCTATCCCACGACCCGTCCGACCAAAGGTCGCGCACAAGCAGGTAGGGGGAATGCGACACCTGCCTATCTCTAGACAACGGCCTATCACCTAACCACCACTCATCCCAGAAACTAACCTCGCCATCCCCCAAAACCCAAAAAATATGATCCTGGGCACGTCTACCCACCCTAGTAAGGCGCCGCCACTGTCTGCTATCATGCGCAACCGCCGTCACCCAACAAGGGTGGTTGACAAGTCTAGAGCAGTACTTGCCGCGAAGGTACTGGGCCCATAGCGACTTTCCTTCCCTGAAGCGCCACCACAACTTGTATGAGTAGGCAGTAACAATATCCCTAAGGCGACGGAAGCCAAGGCCACCCTCAGGGAGGGGGCGGCAGATAGAGCCCCAACTCACCCAGTGGGTACGTCTCCTCCTCCCCGAACCATCCTCGTAATCCCAGAAATAACGAGCCATGATCTGGTCAATCTCGTCAAGAGTGGACCTAGGGGGGTCGAGAACCATAAGTAAATGAAGCGGAAGGGAGCTAAGGGTGCTCTTGATCAGAGCAAGCCGACCACCGAACGAAAGATGTCTATGCGACCAACCAGAAATCCTATCGATAATCCTCTATCTGATGCCCGCAAAGAGCGCTCTCGTGAGATTGCCCTTATATAAAGGGGCACCAAGGTAGGTAATAGGAAGGTCGCCGTGCGCAAAGCCAGTGATCTCGTGGACTCGCTGAGCCCACCTGTCCGCGCTGGAGGAGGAAAGAGTGAAGGTGCTCTTCTGCACACTGATCAGCTGGCCGATAACCGAGCTATAATGCTCCAGAAGGTGCATAAGCTCGGTCAGCCCATCATCATCCACACGGGTGAAGATGATGATGTCATCCGCATAAGATAGGTGCGAGATGGGGGGACCATAGCCACGGGTGCTATATGTCATCTGAGGATAGTCGCGGATAAAGCCGTCGAGGCAGCGAGAGAGGTAGTCCGCCGCAAGGACAAAAAGAGACGGGGAAAGGGGGTCTCCCTGTCTAAGGCCTCTAGATGATGGAAAAAAATCTGTGGGGCTGTCATTAACCAGGACCGAGAACGTGCAATGCTCCACACACGCCTCTACAAAGCTGATCCAACGCTCCGGGAATCCCATCCTAGCCAGTGCCTCCCTAAGAAATGGCCACTCCACTCTATCATACGCCTTAGCCATATCTAGTTTCAGCGCAATGTTCGGTGCCCGCTTCCAGTCTGCATGGGAGATATCGTGGATCATCCCCTGGGCCAGTAGTATGTTATCACTAATGACCCGATCCTTGACGAAGCCACTCTGGTTCGGAGATATGAGGGAGGGGAGAATAGGGGAAAGACGGCCGTTAAGAATTTTCGAAATAAGCTTATTGGTCACGTTACATAGGCTGATGGGCCTGTAGTCGAACCAAGAGTTCGGATTGGGTCTTTTGGGAATCAAGACGACAGAGGTAGCCGTGAATGAATCCGGCATCCGGTGACCGGTGAAGAAGTCCAACACCGCCTCCTCAACATCAGGCTCGACTATATCCCAGCAGACCTGATAGAAGAGGGAAGAGAACCCATCGGGGTCAGAAACGCTGTTGGGATCAATCCCGAAGACAGCATCCCTAACCTCCTATCTGCTCGGAAGCTCACAGAGGTCGATAAGGTCGATCGAAGGAGGGATGGTAGGGAAGAAAGAGACGATCAGGGCGACGAGGGACCCTCTGTCAGAGGTGAAGAGGGTCTGGAAGTGAGCAACAGCAGACTCCCGAATCTGAGACTTCTGGGTCAGGGATGATCCATTTGCCTCAATACTATGGATATACGACTTAGCGCGCTTCTGCCTAATGAAGCCCTGAAAGAACCTAGTGTTCCGTTCGCCCTCTGCCACCCAGCGAATGGCCGCCTTCTGCTTCCATAAATCCTCCTCCATAAGGAGTCGGAGCTGGTACTCGGCGTGGCATAGGTGCATCGCAGTCCTATTCTCCGGAGTGGGATCCAGGTCATAGGCCCGCTCAGCCTCCGCGTGCGCACTCTGAGCCGCAAAAAGGCGCTGGTGGAGGTTTCCAAAAACATCCCAGTTCCACTGTCTCAACCTACGCCGTAATCTGCCGAGCTTGGCTTCGAGATTGCGCATCCCGAAGAGCCCAGTCGGATGAAGCCAGGAATCCCTGACAGTGTCATGGAAAGAGTGGTGGCAAACCCATATGTTCTGGAACCTAAAGGAGGCGCGACGGGGAGTGCTCGAGAAGCGACACCTAATCAGGAGTGGTGAATGGTCAGACCCAAATCGAGTGAGATGCGTGACGGTCGTGACCGCAAACACCTTCGACCACGCTTCACAAACCAAAGCACGGTCGAGCCTCTCTTTGAGGTCGTCCCTAACCCACGTGAAGGGCTCACCCTCACATCCAGCATCTAGCAACTCACAGTCCGCCACGGTCTGAACAAAGTCCCACATCTCCCGGGACCTGTCCGTGCGGCCACCCACACGCTCATCGTGGTGCAGAAAGATGTTGAAATCGCCACTAACCATCCATGGCAATCCCTCCATACTCTCAGCAATCTCACGCAGGGTGTCCCACAGATCGTATCTCCCGACTCTATTACACTTGGCGTAAACCAAAGTGTGAAATATGGGCTCAGGGAGATGGGCAACAGAAAGCTCAACATGAAGCACCTGATCGGTGTCCCGGAGGACCCGACAAGTGTAGTCACGCGAGTGGAAGAAGAAGATCTTATGAGAGATGTTACCCACGCCCGAATGGAAACCAAGACAACGTGAGAGATAGTCAAAGTCAGGGGTGCGAATCATCGGCT